AGTCAGTGAATACTTATTTTTTGCTTATCTTAAATGTGTGTGAGTATGCATATGATATTTTTTTTTATCTCTGTGCTCCTGACCTAACACTGGATCTTCTGCTTTAGCTTTTTCTTTACAAGAGTTATGGGCCCACACATATCTGTCTGATTCTCCTCTCAATGGTTTATATCTGACAGAAGGCTGGCAATGTTTAAAGGTATAACACATGGAAGCTCAAAGAAAATTTGATTAGCATACTGCCAGCTATCAAAATTATCTGCATGCATTCCTAAAGGTTGATGAGTAGCCCTCTTTTTATTTATTTTTCATTTTTTAGATGCAAACTTTTTCAAATATATTTTTTAATTTATTTTTCCCCATCACCATTTATTTTCTCTATGCCCTCTTCCCCTTCCCCGTTCCCCAAACAATCACCACACTATTATCCATGAGTTCTCTCTCTCTCTTTCTTCTTTTTGATCAATCCCTCCAGTACCACCAACACCCCCCAACACACACACACACACACACACACACCAGAGCTGTCTGCCTGCTCTCTGAGTAAGCCAGTCAGAAAAAGACAAGTACCATATGATTTCACTCATATTTGAAATTTAATGAACAAACTGAACTACCAAGCAAAATAGCCTTCTTTTTTACAATGACCTCTTTTCATAGAGTATTTTGAAGGAAATAGGATGTTGTATAGGGATGTTTACTAGGCTTACGGTTTTAGTTTTAGAATCTGTATATTTAGCTATTACTTAACTTCATAAAAATACCAGCTACTTGAAACATATCTACAGTGCTTGGGAACCACCAAATATGGGATGAAAACAATGGCAACTGGGCAGAGTGGATAAGGAGGAGTGGGGTATCTAAGAACCATGGTGTGGTGCAGAACTTTGGTGTGTTCTGGGAGCCTACTTTGCCCTCATCACTCCTCTTGAAACATAGGTTCTGTTTTTTCATTAATACTAGGCCCTTTGTTCATTTTTGATGGATGATGGATGTTTGATTCACTGGAGATTATTTACCCTGACCATATCCACTTTATTCAATTGGACCAGACGGGTGACATTTCTTTATGGGTTTTCTTAACATCTCACTGAAGCTGAACGTAAGGTAAGACCAAGCTTCATACATGAAAGGACTTTGAGTTGCTTATATCGAGTATAGCACAAGAGGAAAACACTTAGGGGAAAGAAAACCCTGCAGGAAATATAGGGACATCCAAGAATAAAACAATGGAAGAGGTTAGAAGGGATGCAATTCATCTATTGAGATAAATTAACATATAATAGATCATGATATTTTTAATTGTTTGGGCATTAACACTCAGTACTTTGTCTTGGGAAAATACATCAGGGCTATTTCCTAGTGTCCTTTGTCCTTAGCACTGAAGCACTGGCACTAGGAGACTCCAACACCTCACAACCTGTGTCCTGGTCAAGCCACAGAGAGCTGTCCCTCCTTCAGAGGCACAAAGAGGGTCTTGGAAAGAGCAAATTTGCATGAGACTTGAGAAAAAATACTCTTTTCAGAATTACCTCAGAAAAACACCAAGAAATGGCAAAAATTACCTAATGTGGGCTTGCACACCCACCATGCTCTTTTTACTTGTTCGAAACTAATGTTGGTAATTTGTTCTCTGTGATTTGAAAGGCCTGCCAGTCTTGAGCCAGTCTTTCCAGTTATTAGAGGGCCCATTCCATGGCCGGATGTGATTGCAACCCGAACCACCACTGCAGCCCTTGGAAGCAGGCACTCAGCTTTTACTGAGAAAGAGCACGGCTGCACTCTCAGTCCCGTCCTAGGATAAGTCTTCTTGGCATTCATAAGGAGAACATCCCATCCGTCTCTAGATGGATGGCATGTTCTCCTTATGAATGCCACTGCGTAACCCTCATGTATGGGAGCCAGGCTGAGGTGCCCTTAGAGCCAAGTTTCATTGTGAGGAACAGCAATGTTTTGTTGCTAAGGAAACAAGGGTATTCAGGGAAACATAGGAGCTACATTACATGTGGAAAATATTAATGACAGAAATGATTTGTGAAACAAGGCCAGAATCACTTTTTTTAAATTATTATTTATCACACGCTATTTTTTCCCCTTTTGTTCTTGGGCCACCTTGACTGCAAACCCTCTGATGAAGAAAATCCAAATACAAGAGCAATAGAACAAGATTGTAGTTCCTGAGAGAGACCATTCATAAATTTAAAGGCACAGGCAGGCCCCACCTAGAAACTTTCAGGGAATATTCATAAATGTTGCAGATCTAAAGGTATCTATTTTAAGGTCTTATAAGAAACCAAGTATTTGAAAGAGCACATTGCTGGGGGTTTTTCCCCCACACAATTCTCTTCCTTCTTTTCCTTCATTTCCAGATAAATATTATAACCAAGTAGGAAGGCACCCCTTAACAGACTGTTGTTTCCAGCCAGAGTACATTAGAACTGGACACACATGCAACTTCCATACTGTCCAAAAGAAATGCATTGGCCTCAGGTTGACTATTCTGGAAATTGAGCAATTTTCCTAAGGGGATAAATATAATATGGTGGTTAAGAGCAGACTGGCTGGGTTTGAATCCTGACTCTGTCCCTTACTCACTGTGTAGACTTGGACCCGTTGCTTAAACTCTTTGTGCCTAATCTGTACCTAAACTGTCTTGCCTCAAAAGGTGGTATTATGTTAAATGAGAATTTAGAACTTTATCTGTCCATAGAAAATAATCAGTAAATAAGTGTTATCTATCATTATAGAAGTTCTCAAATAAATAATCCTCTCTCTGCCCATTAGAAAATACAGAATTACTGGATTTTAGGGGCTTTTTTTGCAAAAATTGCAATAGCAATTTCTTAACATTTTGTAATAAAATGGTAATGGATGAAATGTTACTGTAAAATATAACATTATTTTTAGATTGAGGATAAAATAGTTTAAGTCTGTAAGATTTAGAAGTACATTATGGGATGGGAAATGAAACTATTCCCTGAAACCTGACTTTTAATACGATACACTTATACATGTATAAAATTTAAAAAATAACAAAATCAATGTGACATGCATCACTGGTTGACAGATCCGAAGAGAAGTGGAAATTAGTAATAACATCAAGAGACCACTACATTTGTGACCAGAAATATAGCTAGAAGGAAAAATATAGCTCATTCTCACCTTACTTCCTGCCAACAACTTTGAACATGCTATAGAAATTGCCATCTTTTCAAGTGACAATGAACTGTGTTCACCTGGCAGTGAAATTTGCCAGGTGAACACAAAGTAGTAATTTTATGTTATATATCTTTTACCACAATTAAAAAAAATCTAAGAGACACCCTTGGAAAATTGATAAAGTCCTCAAATACTTTGAACCAACACTCCTTTTATGACATTGTTGTGAAAGTCAAGCATGAAATGTTCTTATGTCAGAACTTTACAAGTTCTCCCAAATACTTGACTATTTATTCTTTCAAAGAATTAATGCATGGTTGGAATGAAAAGCTAAATTTTGTTGAAATGAATTTATTTAAAAAGGAAAACCTAAGTAGTAATTGTAGGAGACACAACAAGACATGATCAAATGGTCACCTTTTTATGGATTGCCACCAACCATCTCCCAAAGCCACACGCCTGCTCCCAACCCACCACTTCCTCCCGGTGCCCCTCACAGCTGATGACCTGTCTGCCTCTGCCTCAGGCCAGCCATATGATCTCCAGACTTTGCTTCCCATTTTCAAAAATGAAAACTTTGGGCCAGTATGATCTCTAATATTCCTTGTGGCTCAAAAATTCTGTAATTTTATTACTGTTGCAAATTCCAGCCCTGACCCCTGATTTAAAGCCTCTCACAAACATGTGAAAATAATCATCTTAGGTAAAAAAGAATCCTAGAAATAAGCATAAACTGTCAAAATATATTTTTTTCTTGCTGCAGGATTTTACCTACAGCCAAAGCAATTTTATAAAAACCTTCTACTCAGTATTCCAAGGAGCCATTTCTTTCCCCCAGAGAGAATTAATCATAGGCAAGGACTGGGGAAGACACTTCCCCTTGATGAAGTTTGAGCACGCTCCTGCTGAGAAGCCCATTCTATTTTAATTTGTCAATTAAAAGTGGCCTGGGGAATCACACACTGCCATTATCTCATTAAATCACTATACTTGTCACTCCCTTTCCTCTGAAAAAAGAACACTCAAGTAGCTCAACTACTCCCCACAACTTAAATTTAATAGTACTTTTAAAATATTGGTTTTATCTAGGGTCTGTTGGGGACTGCACCTTCTCTGTTATTACCGCCATAAATTCCACGGATCTCCAGTCACTAACTCAATTCCATTTATTGGGTACTTACTATATCCGTGAAATTTACTAAGCATTAAGAAGAATTAAAAAGGAACTAAAAGGCTTGCTTTCAGCAAATCAATGGCGTGCTCATTAGAAAACAGAGCCTTATAAAGAGTCTCTTAAAGATCCTTCTTATAGCATCTTTTGGTTCTGCTTGGCTCTTATTCAACCCTTCCCTATCTATCTTGCCTGATTTTCTGTGGAATGACATTACAAGCATGGCCCTGTTTAAAAAAAACACCAAAAAAAAGCTTGATTTCTTTTGGTATAACAGCTGTAAAATCTCTTCCTTTATAAGCTGTATATTGAGTTGGAATTATATGTGCGAAGTAGGCATTTGAGTTGAGTTACTTGTTACTACTTATCAGTTTCTAGTGAGCCATATAATAACTAAATGGCAGAAGTAAAAAAGGAAACACTGCAAAGATTCTAATGGCTTATTTTTAATAATGCTCCTTTGAATAATATAATAATAAATTATAAAACTATGTCAATGACTTCCTACATGTACTTGAACATGATTCGGTGCATACACCTGCAGTTATTTTGTATTTCCAAAGATACTTCCTCAAAGAGTCCATTGACTTCTGCCTAATAAAAACATGCATTACCATGGCCCACTAGGAGAAAGACACTCTGCCTGTCTTTAACCCAGGAATAGGATTACCTTATTGCCTTGAAATCCTTTCGGGCCTGGGTCCCCTGGAGGTCCACTAATGCCCTGCTCCAAGATGAAAACCAAGAATTAGTTCTGTGTACAAAAGGCCCATCAGGAATGAATCATTTATTCAGGTCCCTAGAGATCCCAGAGTTAGAATTCAGACTATAACTCAGTTAAATTGTAATTACATGGGATTGAGAAATGGAATGAGGTGAAATTCTTCATATCAAATAAGTATCTTCTAAAATAGTACTTCAGCTGAGAGCAAACATTTATTAATGAGAGGTTGGTTTTCTAAACCTGTGTTTCCAACCTTATTCCTGACCTGGACCTCTTTTTTGAAAGATTTCAAATAAACAACTTTTTAAAAATATATCTAAGGCATATATAACTGAAAGTTGCAACTTCCAATGACCCTGTGATAGCTAGAGTGACTATCCTACCCTGACACAATGCCAGGCTAAAACAAAGGAGTTGATGGTTAACTAGATTTTGTCTAGAAAATCTTGGGTAAAAGTATAATTTTCAATAGACTTTTTGAAACACTGAAATTAACTCTTCACACACATAGCATCCCCCCATTATAACTGTAAATGAGGCAAGTTCACAGACTAGAAAAAAAATCAGCCATATTATTTTTTGAAATCTATATATGTCTAACCTAAATAAATGCCTTAAAGAATCATTGCATGTTATTGAGCATCAACTACTTACAGTGGCAAAACAATACAAATACTTAATTTAGAGAAAATGCATAGCTCCTCCAACTACATTATAGTAGCACTGCAAAAACCAGTTACACTTTGTTTTTAACTACTTTGATTTTATCCGTCTTCCTAGATGCTAATTTTTAAACTTTTATCCCTTCAACTAATCATTAAATAGACTCCCCTGCTGGTACCTATCTTTAGGGAGCCTGAATTGGTTAATAAAACATTAAGGTAGTGGTTTCCAAAACTTGGTTGCACATTGAAATCGCTTGGGGATCTTTAAAAATATTGAAGCCGCCCTAACCGGTTTGGCTCAGTGGATAGAGCGTCGGCCTGTGGACTCAAAGGTCCCAGGTTCAATTCCGGTCAAGGGCATATACCTTGGTTGTGGGCACATCCCCAGTAGGGAGTGTGCAGGAGGCAGCTGATCGATGTTTCTCTCTCATCGATGTTTCTAACTCTCTATCTCTCTCCCTTCCTCTCTGTAAAAACTGAATAAAATATATTTTTAAAAAAATATTGAAGCCTAACTCCAATTCCAGCCATTCTGATTGAATTGGTAGAGGGTGCAAGTGAGCAAAGGAATTTTAAAAAGCACCCTAGGTGATTCTAGTGTAGACTTAGATTTGGTATTAGCCTCCTTACCTGAGGTCCTCTGGGTCCTTTTGATCCATATGGCCCGGGGGATCCCTGTGGAATAAAATTGATGGTAAGTCACTCTAAATATCCATCTTCAAAGTGCAATGACTTTAGGTGGAAGAGAGGGAATATGTTCTCTGTAAGGGCCAGTCTTCCCTGGTTATCCAAACATTAAAACCAACATGTTCATTGTTAACGAAATGATCCTAATTAACAAGTCAAATGGAGGTCACATTGTCCTCTAGCAAACAAACTCCATGAAAACATAATTTTAGATGTAAGTTCTTGGCCTATATATTGATATTTTTATCAAAGTAAATGATTTCTTAAGATTCTTTAGAAAGCTTGGTAGAATATTGTGTGTTTTTTTCAACAAGGTAATGGCAGTTAAATTAATTTAGTGAGTTTCTCCAATGTCTAGTTTCTCCCATCTTCAAGACATGAAACTTGGCAAAACACTGTTTGTAATCAACACTCTTCTAACAGAAAATATTTCAGTATGCTCCATAACTAAAAAACCCCTTAAAGGTTTATTTTTATTAAAGTAAAATATAGTCTAATCTCTTTTTTTTCAGATTTCAACTTTTTTCTGCTTTTGTTGTGTATGTGTCCCTTCACACTGATATTAACATATTTTCATCCAATTTTATTCCCAATAGATTTTTCTTCAAATAATTTGATCAGAGTATATATACAATTTTATGTCTTATTTATTTGACCTTCTGTTTTATCAAAAATATTTTTTCATGTTATTAAGAACTCTTCATAACGTGAATAATATTCAAGAATATAAATCAGCCCTAGCCAGTTTGGCTCAGTGGATAAAGCATCAGCCTGCAGACTGAAAAATCCTGGGTTTGATTTCGGTCAAGGGTACATCCCAGGTTGCTGGCTCTATCCCCAGGAGGGGGTGTGCAGGAGGCAGTTGATCAGTGATTCTCTCTCATCATTGATGTTTCTATCTCTCTCTCCCTCTCCCTTCCTCTCTGAAATAGATAAAAATATATTTTTAAAAAAGACTATAAGTCAATCATGATTTACTTAGTCATTTCCCTAATGTGGACATTTAAATTCATTTTGGTGATTACTATTTAAATAATGCTATCATGAACATGTTTGTATATACCAGTACATATTGTCCAACTTCTGACTCATTCCTAAGGATAATTTCCTAGAAAGGATGCCTGATGCAGAGATAGACAATAAGCACATTTACAATTCTCTCTCAACTCTCTCTTGCTTCTCACACTTTTTATGGGGAGAAAATATGAAACTTTTATCCATAAAGTTTGTTCAGGTTTCCATTTTCACTACCTGAGTAGAGAAAGCGTATCTTCATTTTATAAAATCCCCATCAACTCTGAGTATATATTACTTTAGTGTTTGCTAATTTGGTAGGTAAAATAATATTTTAATATTTTAAGTTTACTTATCTGATTGCAATGCATTGGATAATTTTTTACTTATTAGCCATTTTTATTTTCTCTGTTTGATTTTCTGATTCTTTATACATTTTACTTATGAATTATGTGAATTCTTCATATCAGGGACACTGTGTTCCATTGACATCTAGACATGCATTTTTCAAATTTTCACATCTCTGACATTGGGATACATCTTACAATCAATTGCATCTTTATAATTGGAAGTATTTTTTTCTTTCTTTTTGGCACAAAATATAATAGGGCATTTAACAATCCTTGGCATCTTAGTAAATGAAATATGATATTAACTCTTTATCAATCATTTTTATTTCAAATAGTTTTCCCAGTTATTATTTAACTTTCATTTTTGTTTTCTTCTATATGTGTCCTTTATTCCGTATTTCTGAGTCCAGGTCCATCTCCCATTTTTAGTTATCCTCCAGGAAGAATCCACTCATTATTATACTTTCCATTTTGCCCAGAGATAATTACCAAGCCTACATTTTTCAGATCCACCTGACCTTTCACTCTCCAGCATTTTCAAAAGCTTTCAGGAAGTCTCAAGCTATTTAAAGTGTTTAGTTACATGTGCCACTGCCATTATCCTATCCTTTTCTTTTCACCTTCTGCCTCATTCTCTCTCCTTGACTTTCTGCCATAATTAAAATATATATATTGAGTTTGGTATCTTAATGGCATGTTCTTAATAGTTCTTAACTGCAATGAAAACTACTTTTACTGTGTGCTTTTTTGACCTTTTATTATTATACTAGAGGCCCGGTGCATGAAAGTCATGCACTGGAGGGGGGGGAGGGTAATCCCTCAGCCCGGCCTGCACCCTCTCACTGTCCAGGAGTCCTCGGGGGATGTCTGACTGATGACTTAGGCCCGCTTCCCACGGGAAACCGGCCTAAGCTGGCAGTTGGACATCCTTAGCACTGCCGCAGAAGCAGGAGAGGCTCCCACCACCACTGCGCTTGCCAGTCGTGAGCCTGGTTTCTGGCTGAGTGATGCTCCCCCTGTGGGAGTGCACTGACCATAAGGGGGCAGCTCCTGCATTGAGCGTCTTCCCCCTGGTGGTCAGTATGCATCATAGCAACTGGTTGTTCCGCCATTCGGTCGATTTGCATATTAGCCTTTTATTATATAGGATTTTAAATGCACTCTCTATGCATTTCTGGCCCATTAAGGAACTCTTTAACATATTTAATATTGTCTCCAACTTATATACTTTATCCATATTTATGTTTTAATGAAAGGTAAGTACCTATTCAATTGTCCGTGGTTTGCTGCATTTTCCAAATTTCAAACCCCTATCTGTGTCTGCTTCTGTCTCATTATTTATAACTATTTTATTAACTTATTTCATAGAGTTCTTTGCTCTCCTTTGGAAAGTGCTTGTTCTCAGTGTTTACAACTGAAAAACAGTTCTACTTGTTCCCAATTGGAGCTTGAATTGACTATTTGCTGGTTAAATTATTCTTTCCACTATAACACTCGGTAGGCTTGGCCTCCAAGGTTAGGGTACCACAAAGCAAAGACTTAATGGTCCATAAGAAAGGCATTTGGGGGCACTATTAATTAAAGTTAGGTATGGCTTTATTTTTTGCTTCATGTTTGACTGATCTGAAAATTGAGCCAATGATCTCCAACTCCAGTAGTGAGGTTGACATAATGCATCCCAGAAATTTTCTTTTGTAATTTTTTAATCGTTCAATTGTTGTTGTTTTTTAATAAGTATAGTTGGAATAGATTGGTTATATTAGTTTCAGGTGTACAATGTAGTGAGTCAACATTTTTATACCTTACAATGTGATCACTCCATTAATTCTAGTAATCATCTGTCACCACATAAACTCATCACAATACTGTTGACTATCTTCCCCTTTCCCTTTACACCCATCCCCCACTCTCTCCCTTCTGGTAACCATCCCTTTGGCCTCTGTTCAAACAAAACAAAACAAACAAATAAACAAAAACAGACTCATAGAAACAGGAATTCCTTCCTAAGGAAACTCAGCCCCAAAGGATCGCAGCTGTTAGCATTTTATAAACATGTTCCTTACTTTGTCACCTTTTATTCCTGGTTTGCCACAGTCTCCACGTACACCCTAAAAAAGAAATAAAATAAAATAAGAAGACATTTATAGTTATTCAGTGTGATGATTTTCCTCTTAAGGATTTTCCCAGCAGAATCTTATGACATAAGCACTCTGATGGATTATACCCAGTTATATCCTCAATCCTGTAGGTTGTTTGGGCATTGAACTATGAAAAATTTTATCCATGAGTCATCTTTAACTTGACAAAATCAAATCACTAATACCACTTAATGAGGCTTAACATTTTTGAGAGATGGATGACATTAAAAGAAAAGCTAAGGTTTACTGAGCATCTACCATAGATTATATGCCCTTGGCATGTGTGACTTAACTGAATCCATAGTACAGGCCAATGAGATCAGTTTTAGAATTCTCATTTTATAGATGAGGAAACTTAGCTCGGTGAGATAACTTCTCTTCATCATAGAGCTAGGAAGAAGAATCAAGATCAGAATCCAGGTCTACCCAGACTCAGGGCTGTGTTTCCACAACACCATGCTCAGTACCAACTTTGATCAAGTAGTAGCTTTTTCCTAGAGAGTGTGAGGGAAGAGCCCTGAGACCATGTCATGACTTGGTAGGGAAAGGAGCCATGATGGATGAGCAAGGTCTGCTGTGAGAGCGAGAGAGCGGGGCAAGGTGGCCAGCACGCTATGCATTTTCCATCATCATTCTCCACCGTCCTGCCTTTCCTAGAATATTAATGAAAAAACTAACATATAAATTATGTTTCACAGTTTATTATTAATGGTATTTTAGAAATTAGCTTTAGTTCATCTGACACCAACTGTCTGAGGTAGATATTTTTAGCCCAACTTTACAGTATGAAATTTTGTGATTCAAAAGGTTAAGCAACTTGTTCAGGACTTCTAAGACTTCTAATAGTTGAACCAAAATGCAAAAGAGTCTATTGGGATAACAACTAAAGTTAGAATTTCAAAGAGCTTTCATATATATATATATTCTAAGCCGCAGACCAATTCATATTTTTAAGATAAGGCAACTCAATTGGAGATGTACTTGAATACACATGCTAGCCCATGACTCCTAGTCCAGTGCCCTCACTACTAGTTTCTGCTTCTGCTGCTGCTTTGTTTTATGTGCTGCTCTAAGTGTGCTATTCAAAGTGCTACTGCACAATGACATAAGGAACTTGCACTAACATGGACTTCAGTGCCCTGCTTCCTTCATCAGGGAAGTCTTGCTATGAAAAAAAAATGTCAGCTGAACTAAACAGTGTACTTAGTGGTCTATTGGATTTATATTTTGGTGGAAACTTCATCTTTCCACAAAATAGCCACAAACAGTTCACAGATTGACAGCCAGCCTGCCCACCACACTTTGAAGAGTGGCTGCTCCGAGAAAGGTAACCAGCAGCTATGGATGCACAGTATGTGCCAAAGCCTTTATATTGTTGTTAATCCCCACACCAGCCTTGCAAGGGAGATATGTCTCCATTCACAGATAAGGAAAATGAGGCTCAGAGAGATTAAGGAACTTCTCCATGACCACAAGCTGAGTCCGTTAGACCCTCAGGTCCATGTTCTCCATTAGCCACCCAAAGCTGAACAAAGCTCACTGCCATGGTCTGTAGGTTCCTTCCCACTTACTCCACACTTCTTCCTAGGGTGCTGCCTGGGGTAGTGCTGGCACTGGAGTAGGAAAGAGGAAGGCACGATTCTTAGGTCCAACTATGCCTCTGTTCAAAAGCAATCTATTCTCTCTCTACATCATGTGAGTCAATCTGACCCAGGAAAAACTGAGCCCTCTCTTAGGACAAGTCGGACATTTACTTCTGAATGCAAATGGAAAATCACTCTTGAAGAATCTATTAGAAGGCAATTAATTTAATAATGTTGGATGGGAATAAAATGAGTCAACCAGCAAAATATCAAACAGAAAAGTACCATAAATACACTCCAAAGTATCTGGCCAGAATTCACATTCCATTAGTACAGACAGATTTTTTCGCTATAGGGTCCTGGGGATCAGCATTTGTTGGGGGGAGAGGGGTGCAGATTTCCATCAATTAAAATATTGTACTCATGTTATTTGCCTCTGCAAAGGCGTTTTCTTTTTTGCTGGGCTCATTAGTCCCCGTGGAATGGCCACATGACACAGTTCCAGAGAGAAAGTGCTTCAGAAAGCTGCAAACAGATTAGCTCTGTCCCCAGCCTCTGGCTTCTGATGCCACTGCTCCTGCTGAAATTCTGGTTTGAATGTCGATGGGTCAGGGTCGCTGTGCTCTGACAGCTTGTATTTTCCAAATGCGAACTCCTCCAGTGAATCTATAATTCCCCAGAAGTTTAAATGAATATTGTCTTATATAACATACATAATCTTCCTGGTGTTGATAGTTAGCTCGTTGTGTAAATCATAATTTTTCACAACTACATATGGGACAATTTTGTAATCATGGAACTTTTTAAACTTTCCCACATTATCGTTTATTTCCTGTCTCTTCCTGATAGCACCTTACATTTACAGACCAGCAACAAGCAAACAATTTATTATCACATCCATTATTTCGTTTGAGTGTCTGAAAATTAGGGAGGCCTGGATTAGCCCAGTTCCATTTGGATGATGAAATAAACACTCCAAGAGATTGAGTTTCCAGGTTCTTATGGCTAAGGGCAGAATCACGGCATTTCTTACACTCTTCCTCTTTTAGGCCTAACGTTTCCAGTCCTTGGGGATATATTTCTTTTCCTGTATGAAGGTTTACCCCTAATATTTGCAGAGCTCAGGGATGAGGACAAGCAGAGGCCCACATATGATATATCTAAATAGTTGGAAGTTATAAATCAAGCTAATAAACTAGTCATGTTCTAGCTTCCTTTCTTAACAAATAGGCCTTCAAAAGACATTTTAAATCATAGAATTTTGGGATTCCTCAAGAGGTCCATGCAGGAGTACAGCCCCAGCCTAGAGCCTAGCCCCCACTTCACTTCCCACGTCCAGTTCCTTCCGCAGCAAAAGATGCTGTAAGTGTGTGTACACGAAGGTGCCCACACAGCACAAAGCTGCCTCCAAGGCTCCCTCCTATTCTAGCAAACAGCTCTGACCACTTTGCAAGGACTTTTGGGGTCTTGGTTACCAAAGTATGACCTAGGCCAGTGATGGTGAACCTTTTGAGCTCAGCGTGTCAGCATTTTGAAAAACCCTAACTTAACTCTGGTGCCGTGTCACATATAGAAATTTTTTGATATTTGCAACCATAGTAAAACAAAGATTTATATTTTTGATATTTATTTTATATATTTAAATGCCATTTAACAAAGAAAAATCAACCAAAAAAATGAGTTCGCGTGTCAGAGGTGACGTAGGTTCGCCATCACTGACCTAGGCCATGGGGGCAAAGACCTCTTGCCCAGCAAATCCTGGCTCTGAGGGTTAGGAGTGGGAGCACAGGAGACCCAGAGCAGGGCCTCTGAAGTGCAGGCCGCTTGCCCAGATCTGAGGTCTGTACCACCTGTAGGATGGAATGGATGGTAAGGATGTGTTCAGATTTCAGACAGAAGGTCCGATAATGGAACAGTGGCAGGCTTATTAATGAACCATTGAACACTCTCAAAGGTTCCTGGGCTCCAGTCCAACTTGTTTATTTCTTTTGAATCAATCTGTTAACTTCTTTTGAACTAGTGTGATCAGTTCCCTAACCTGTAATTTGCAAATAATCTACCAACCCATTCCTTTTGTGTGTTTGTTTGTCAAATTTACTCTCTGCTACAGTCTCTACCCAGACACCTAAGTGAAGTCAGTGGTTCTTCACTGCTTAACAAACATAAGTCATCTTTCTCCTATAGGAGGGCTAGGTGCCTAGGTTTTATAGGAAGTTAAGCAGCAAAGGAACAAACTAATTGCAGTATTTCTGCATCATTTTGTACATGGACACTTTTCATCTGGATACCTGTGCTGCATGGCTGTTAAATTGGGGTTCTCTGTTCATGTCTGCAGAGCTCAGAGAGACTACATACTAATCTCAGGCGCTTCCCACCCCTTACAATACACACCCAGATCTTAAGTTATATTATTACTAGAGGCCTGGTACACGAAATTCATGCACTGGGGGGTGGGGGAGGGTCCCTCAGCCCGGCCTGTGCCCTTTCACAGTCTGGGAACCCTTGGGGGATGTCTGGGGGGAGTGACAAACACACGAAAGGAATGGGTTGATAGATTATTTGCAAATTACAGGTTAGGGAACTGATCAAACTAGTTCAAAAGAAGTTAACAGACTGATTCAAAAGAAATAAACAAGCTGGCAGTCAGACATCTTTAGTGCTGCCGTGGAGGTGGGAAAGGCTCCCGCCACCACTGCTACACTAAGCAGCCATGAACCCAACTTCTGCCTGAGCCACCAGGGGGCAGCTCCTGCGTTGAGCGTCTGCCCCCTGGTGGTCAGTGCACATCATAGCGACCCATCATTCCACTGTTAGGTCGATTTGCACATCAGCCTTTTATTATATAGGTTTTTGTGTCAACATAGTTAAGACTGTATTTGCGAGTTAGGAAATCCCGACTTACAAAAATAAAGGAAAGGAAGTTTTATTCAGTACATCAATGCAGTGATGTTTCTGGAATCTGGTCTATTTGCTGTTACAAACTTACCTTCTCACCCTTGTACCCAGGAATTCCCTAATTTAAAAAAAAGAAAAAATGAAATATGATATTAGAAGGCATAGTTAGAAGAAGTACTTTATGTTTTTCATTTATAACATACAATAAAACACCTCTGTAAAGTCTTGGAAAATAAGACCGTATAGACCTAGGCTATTTCTCTTTGCACTTAGGGACTGTGCATTTACTAAGGAGAAGAGAAACTAATTTTCCATGTATTACATTTACTCTCAGTTCCAGGTATTTTTTCAAACCCAAATTCTTGTCCTTTGGCCTGAAGCTGAAGAAGAGACTAGACACTGAAACTCATTGTACAAGTGAAGACCTGCAAGGGTCCTTTCAAACTGTTACATTGACTTTTAAACGAACTATGAGCAATCACAACTGAGAATTTTTCACAGGGGCTGGTAGAGAAATTGGCTTTGAGAACGAGCTGGAATAATGAATGTCCTTTAAAATGTGCATAAATGTTTATATTCTTTATGGTCCCTCTTTCACATTCAGTCTAGAATATAACCATCAAGGAAATGAATGGTTCCTTTTTCTTCCCTAATGAGACAGTGAGCTTTGATTTACTAAGTTTTATCTCATGCTAAATAAGGGGCTCCTTTGCTCCTCTTGGGAACCCTGCACAGCCCTCTCCATGTGTCACTGCCCATAAGCTCCTTAAGTAATACAATAGTGAATAAAAAAGGGACTGGAAGTTACCAACTTTACGCAGCAGCAAGTCTTCTTCATATAGGATTTCATGTCTTCTTCATACAACTGTAGTTTTCAAGTATGAAAATGGACTTGTAAGACTGATTTTAAGTGGGCTGTAGAAACTAGTGGCATAGAAAACTATTCTTGCAGTTACATGTAAGTCAGCCTACAACATTTTGTTCTGTGTGTGACTTCGTTACAAAAGTAAAAAGGAAAACTTCAAGGAGGAAAGAACGCTTCTCGGTCAAATGAGTGGTCACCGAGAGATAGAAGATAAAAGTGGAACTAATCCAAGATATTGTTGCTGCAATTTAATTCATTTTGGGGAATATGAATTCACATAAGTGGCTTAATTTTTAGGATGGTGCTTAAAATCAAGGCTCACGTATAAACAGTTAAATTAGGGTCTTTATTAAAACAATTCGTGTTAGCAGCACTAAAAAAGCTAGACTTCTAATCTTAGGGAACTTGGGGTGCTTTCCACCCCTTACATCATACAACCATAGTTCAAATTCTGTCATTATTTTATGTTAAAAGAATTAAGACTGCATTTTAGAAGGAACCAATACAGTTTTGTTTTGTTTTTTCTTTCTGAAATCTCTGGTTCATTTTATTATTTGGTTACTATCAGTTTTCTTCCTTCCTTCCTTCCTTTCAAGGCATTTTTTTAAAAATTTCAGAGATGAAGAGAGAGGGAAAGATGAATAGAAATATCAATGATGAGAGTGAATCATTGATCAGCTGCCTCCTGCACGCCCCCTACTGGCGATCGAGCCCACAACCTGGGCAAGTGCCCTGACCAGGAATCGAACCCTAACCTCCTGGTTCACAGGTAGATGCTCAACCACTGAGCCACGCCGTCCAGGTTTTTCATGGCATCTTAATTATTAGTTTTAAAATATCCAAAACTGCACTTGTGGGTCTCTGCCAAAATTGTTTCTGACTTTCCTATTTCTATTAATGGTATCATCATATTTCAAATCACACAGTATCAAAATTTTATAATCATCTTTTCTTTCTACTCCCCCCTTACATTCCTTTAAACCAACCAGTTGAAATTATCCAACAGCTTCCACTGCACTATTTTACATCCACTCTCCTGACCCAGGCCAACAAGGCGCTATGTGATCTAGCCTCTGCCTGCCTCTGCAGCCTCGCCTCCACCCCCTTCATCAAGTCTGGCTTCTTTCCATTTCCTGAGTCGGCCCAGATTGTTCCCACCTCAGAGCCTTTGTCTCTGCTGCTCTTTCTGCCCAGAACACCCCTTGTTTCATATTCCCATAGCACTTCTCACTGACTGGAATTCTTTTCATTCGTTTGCCTATTTATTGCCTCCCCCTGCTAGGACACTTTGTGCAGCAGGGACTGTCTGTCTTGCTCACTCCTGTATCTCCAGCACCTAAAAGAGGGCCCAACACATAGAAGGTGCTCAATAAATATTTGCTGAATATGTGAGTTAGAGTGAATCCCCACATCCTATCATTTCTTTTCTTTCATGGTTCTCACAATGTCCTCTTCCTTTCTACTTTGTCATCATTGTAGCCCAGTTCTGTGCAATAGAATGTGAGCTCCAAATGGGAGCCCCATATGTTTAAATTTAGTGATAGCCACATAAAAAATGAACAGGTGAAATTAATTTTTAATAATATATTTTATTTATCCCAATAGGTCAAAAACAATGTCATTTCAGCTTGTAATCGTATAAAGAATATCAATGAGATCATTTACATCTATTTTGGGGTTACAACGTCATCAAAACTTGGTGTGTACTTTATTTCTAAAGCACGCCACAATTCGGGTTGGCCATGTTTCAGCTGCTCAGTAAACACAGGTGGCTGGTGGCTTTCATATCCTCCAGAGCAGCTCTAGCCAGTTCCCTGTTATTTCTCATATGGGCTGTAGCAACAAACCTTCTAAGTGCTTCTTCCTTCTGCTTATTCCCACTTACATTTCTCTTTTAGAGTCATGCCAGACTAATCTTCCAAATACACAGTCTTGGGTCATATGCCTCATCTAAAATCTCAGGGGAAGTGCCCATCACCTAGCAAAGCCGAGACCTTACATCCGGCATAGAGCACCCACTCGTCAGGCACCCTATCTCACCATTTCCCAACACACTGCCTTCCCTCTGGCTGCTGCTCAAGGCCCGCTCCATCTGGAATGCCTGTCCCTTCCACCTTCCTATTCTGTCTTTTCCTGTCACAATACTACACCCTTTGGGTCATCCCATAAAATCTTCCCTGACAACTCCAATTTCTGAATTCCCATAATACTTTGTGCATGCAATTTTCACAATATTTTGACACTCTGCTTCATGTAGTAGCTATTTCAAATCTTATCTCTCCTCTGAGATAATAAATATTTCAAAAATATAAGTGCTTTGTCTTAATTTTATTTTCACTTAGTAAGCATGCTTTATATAAGGAAGATAATTAAGAAATGTTTCCTGAATAAATAACAGAAATTTCTGAACGGATTTCCATTGAAATTTTTAAACTGTCTATCAGATTCTTTCATAAAGTTAATTTAAAAAAATGAAGAAAGCAGTTTTTAAAACCTCTAGGCTTTCACCCAAGGAGACACGGAGAGGAGAGAATTATCATGGCCTCCTTTGTTCACTGTATACTTCTCTGCTATTTGCTACACTATTCCAATTCTAACCCAAATGCTAATGAAACATTTTTCTGTAATTATTTTTCATAATAGTTCCAGAATTTTAATTTTCTCTTTATTGAAAAAACAATACAAGAAGTAAAGCAAAATATTTTTCTTATTTGAGCCTTTCACAGGTATCCAATTTAGTATCAGGGAATGTCACGTGGTTGACCACTCCTCTCATCATCTGTCTGATTGCTTGTGTGAGACATCACTAGTACCCGTAGATATCAGTCATTTTTGCACTTGCACTCCAGGGGTCAAAATGGTCAATTACAGAATCTTAGCACCCTGGGATTCCTTCCTTACGAAGGCAATCCAGTTGTGTACATACCCCTGGGCCTCTTTCTCCAGGTTCCCCTTTTTGAGCATCACCCTGTGACAAACAAAAAACTCAGTCAGAATTCCACAGCCATGCAGAGGGACTGATTGCTCAATAAAATGCGTTATTCAGAATTCCCAGATTAGCAAGACAAGCCAGTGGGGGGAAAATTCTTTGGCCTTTCCCATTGACATTTTCACCATGCAATCTAGGGAAGAAAATAGCAGCTCAGATAGCTTTAGCCCTTTAAAGTGAAGCCAGATGTAGAGGGTGCAGAATCCAGGTACATTTTTCACAGCTAAGGCCAAGTCGTGCATCCCAGTTTAACAACACAGCCATTGTTCTCAAATATAGCATCGTACCCACTAGGAGCCAGCCACTTTGGCTTTTCTCCAAGGGGCTTCGGAATGTTTTCCAAAATGTCCTAAAGAGTGATTGCTTGATTTCAGTAAAACTTAGGAAAATATATATTGTGGCACAAAATTACAAGCCAAATAAATGAAATGTGAACATAGACTTATAACAGGTATTTAACAAAACAAAACACAAAGAAGACATAATGGCAATTTGAACCCATATGCTAGTAAGGTGAGTGTAGGGGTGTGTGTGTGTGTGTGTGTGTGTATTACAAAGATGCTTTACATTCCCTTTCTTTGACAAACATGCAATTGACAAAAATACTTTCATGCATTTAACTTATTATATTTTTCATTATCTCCCTAAGTATATTCTCAGAAATAAATCATCGGGTTAAATATTTTAATATTCAATGCCTCTTATGTAGTGCCTAATTGCTTTCTACAATGTGCCACATTACCTTTGCAATGAAGAGCAACTAGTTTCACCACCATATTGCTATCACTAGTTATTATGATTTTAATATTGCTGTGTTAACTGTTACAAAAAAGAAAATTTTTTTAAAAATTTGAAACACAGACTAAACCAAATTATGTGAACTAGAAAATTGATCTCTTCCCTGCCTCAAAATATAACCCAACAACCCTGAATGCCCAAGTGTCTACAGTGTGAATTATTTGTATTAAAGGGTACCTCAGTACCTCTATTTTAAATTTCATTCACTTAAATAGTAAAATCAAATGTTTTTCTATTTCTTTATTTACTGGTTTTATTTCCTCTCTTGGAAATTATTTGTGTCCTTTGACCAATTAATTATTAGAAGCTTGATATTTTCTTATTCATGTCATTGTCTTTATGTACTACAAAAATTAACCCAATGTCCATTGTATTTGGTAAAAACATTTTCATATATGTTTTCCTTTTTATTTTAATCATTATGTTCATTATGCATAATTTAGTCTTAAATTTTCACATAGTTATATCTACTAATCTCTGTTTTGTGATACCTCCAGTCACTCTAAAAGTTGGAACACCATCATACCAACAATGATCAGATCATTAAAAATAATTAATCTATAATTTTTTGATGGGTACACAAAGAAAAGATTTGAGAAAATGCCTGAAGTGTGAGAGAAAATCTGGTGTTTTTTCTATTATTATTGTAGATCAGTTATCTACAAAGTGAATCCATAAAAACATAAGTGTCTATGCCAATCTGACTTGGAACATGTCTTAATAATTCATGGGCATTGTACTCATCAATATGGGACATCACTACTTAATTACAAGCTTCTATTTGTTGGGTTCCAAGGTTTCCTAGATGTTTTGACTAAAACAGCCATTTGTTACTCAGAATTTATAAATGCAAGCTAACAAAAACCAGATAGCTAATGTAGGAAATGAACATTTTGTATTTTTCACAGAAATCATCAGATTTCTGCCATTGACATATACTGCAATGCTCTTAATTTTTCTTAATTTTTGTTCTAGAAATAAAGTTAGAAGAAGACACACTGATTTAAAGGAAAGCTGTTCATTCATTTACCGGGTTTCCTTTTGGTCCTCGCTCACCTTTGATACCCGGGTTTCCATGGGTACCCTAAAGGCAAACAGGAAAAAAGATTATATTGAACAGTCATCCTGTTAGTTTCTTAAACCTTACAGTAATTTCTGATCAGCTTCATCCCATAAAATGAGGGAAGATTGTAAAAAACAAATACTTGACCTGTCAAGAAGAGAGTCAACTCTATTCTCTTCTTTCCTATATACCAGGAAAGCTGCACTGTCTTGAATAGGCTGGTTCGCAAGATTATCCAAAAAATGATAATGTCTCTCTCTCCTTGATATCCGAAAGACAATCTCCAAAGACGGAAGAAGAGAATTCTCCAAATCTTATTCCAGAAAGGTGCTTCACCTTCTTATTCTCAAACCATCAAAAAGCTCACTTTTCTGAGAACTGGTTTTGGAGGCATCCAATGAATGTTCATGACACAGTTCTTTATCCTTACTACAACATGGCACTATCTCTTCTAACAATATTGATTGACTGAGATTGTCAGGTTAGCTCAGTTATGGCAAGTTTTGCTACTGTTCATTCTAAAACATAATTGAAAATCACAAGTAAACCTTCCACTGGTAGTCCCTTGGTGTAATAAGTATAAACCAAGACTTTATAGGAAGGGAAATTTAAGCCTTTGCTTTGGCTAAAGTCAGCTTCTACTGGCCGTCACATTATCATGTAATGTATCAAACTTTGTATTTTGAAGTAAAAAAGACAAACATCCCCACTTTCTAATGCCTTGATTGGGAAGAAGGGTTGAAAACGTATAAGCTTAGGACTCAAGTCTCAAGGTAACATGTGTCATAGGCTAAGAAGTTCACAGCACGCATTTCCCTTCCCATCCCCAAATACAAGTGTTAGTTCAAACATTTTATCCATGCACTTTTGTGAACTATCTCTACTGTGCTTCTGAACATTAAGGTTTGGAATCAAATAAAGGAAATACTGAAAAGGAAGCATAGATGCTATCGGATGATCTGCTATTAGAGAAATGTTCAGCATCTCCAGTCATCATAATGCTATTCCATGTCACAGAATTCACTCTATTCCCCAAGGCTCCCTGACCTGGGCTTCCTCCACACAAGGCCATGCGGCATTGCTCTTAGATGAGTGTAAAGACAAAGAGGTCTGTGTCGCTTGTTTCCAGGTGGAACAAAGCTTTGCCTAAAGCACTGAGTGTTTGAGTGATCTTTTTATATTTTCACTTCAGTATTGAGAAATTCTGGCCCCAATTGCCACATAAGAAGTGATGCTGAAATAACCTTTGGGGGAACAATTTAATCACTTTAAACCTTAGTTCAGGTCAGTAAAATCCAAGGCTTATTCCTAAGGACAGAAGGTATCCCTGTAGGAACAAAAGAGAGAAAAAGCATTTCCTTTTTTGCTGCTTTTTGCACGCAACTGCTTTTCAACAGCACAGAATAGTCCTGGTATTTTCAAGTGTGAGTAGAGTGATCATTGCTAGGACTTCCTGACTTGACCCTAAGCCCAAAGAGAAATATACTCACCGGAAGGCCTGGCTCGCCTGGGTCGCCCTTCTCACATTTACAAATCTTGGGTTCACACTGAATCATTAATAAAATACAATATTAACACATAGTGAAACAGAGCATTTCAAATCTCATTCAGTACATTACTAAATGAAACACTCCCTTGAAGGAATTTTATCTTACAAGTTTATGGAGATTTTGCTCTTCCTAATAAATTCTTCTAGGAAAATTCAGACCTCATAAGAACATAATTGAATAAGCTAAAGTATTATTAAACATTGCCTTAGTTAAATTGAAGAGACCACCTACCTCTTCATATATATATATATATATATATATATATATATATATATATATATATGACATCTAGTTGCTAGTTTAAAAATGGGAATGATAAGCATTTTCAGTGGACTCTTGAAATTTCTGCTGTTTCTCTATTATATAACACATCAGAGCTCAATAATATACAAATATCAAAGAGTCCTTTATTCAGCAAAGGAAAACATTTGACTTAAACCATATTTAATCAATTCTAAGATGCACATTTTTCCTCATGATAGCATCTCTGAAATCAGAGAGAGCTCGGACATGATGAAATTGCTATTTTCTGCATTAGCACTTCAACTTACAGAACGAAATGGAAGAAAACTCCAGAAGCACTACTGCAGCACGCAAGAAATGCTGGATCGCCAGTGCTTTTGACGGAACAGACACCAGTATTTTATAGAAAAACTAGTACATCAATGACTCCCAGACAAAAAGTGATTCAGCAGATTTAGACTCTGAATGTGAAGAAATTTTAGAAATAACCAATTTATCTTGCTTATATATTTTCATATATGTATGTACAAAAGCAATATAGGGTCTAAAAATCTATATCTAAATAAATCTAAAAGAACTCTTTTATACTCATAAGTATAAAATGAAAAATTGTAATTAAGAAGGCACTATATCATAGTTTAATTACCAGAGTGTTTTCTTGTCTTAATGGCACATAAAAATGGTTTATCTGAACATGTATAATTCAGTGAAATATGCTCTACAAGGTTTGGTTCACTCCTGTTATTTTATGCAATACTAGAGGCTGGATGCACAAAATTTGAGCAAAAGGTTTGGCCAGCCCTCACAGCCCTGCCTGCCTCAGCCGGCCCTTGTCTGCGTCCAGAAGATTGTCCGGACAGTTGTTCTGCTGTTCGGTCTAATTAGCACATTAGCTCTTTATTATATAGGATTACATGTAAATTTTCTGATGTTAAATAAGCAGTTTATCGAACAAAGTTCAGACGTTCCAAACTTTTTAATGTTAAGAAACACATGTTCAGTACAGGAGTCCTCAGCAAGTTGATGGTCATCTCTGTGCTAAGTAATTTACTATCCAACCAATATGGGCCAGCTTCCTCTGCCACTGTCAGGAAAAATGAGCCTAAAGTCAATCAGCAGGCAGCAGGGGTCAACTCTGCACTCTGTCTCTTAGCCAGGAACACTCTTCCTGACCCTGCCCATTACAGGCACACCTCCCAAAATGAAGGACTCCCCCACCCCATACCCCGAGTAGTTGGTGTCGGAGACATGCTTAGAATAAAAGAAGTCATATCAAACTAAGCAAAAACTATGTCATTTGGTGATCATTAATTTCTAAAATCAGTCTCTAAAATCACATTAAATTTTTTTTCTAGTTTTCCAACCTGCAGTGGATATGGTGGCCTAAAAGAAATTAGATGGTGGCCTAGAAATAGAGTGGCTCTTTTTAAATATAGGTAAGCATTTTTTAGTCACACCTATCTCCAAATGTGAATTATAATGCTGATTTGATAATGTGAGCTTTTGGAGTAATTCAAAGAATGTGATTCTTACCTTCTTTTCAAACAAGATGTCCTAGGAGGGAAAAAGAATGAAACATTAACTCAATTCATGGTTCTGCTTCCAACTTCTCTTTAGTCTTAATTATTCCCTATGGGATATGCAATTTTTACAAAGAATAGCAATTCAGCCTTTTTAACCTTGTGAAAGCAATAAACCCTACCAGCCAACCACCCAAGGAGTACTCTGAGCCACATAACAGTAAGAGACATGAAGAGAACTAACATTAAAGCTATTTTGTTATCTAAGACCATCCCATTGCACCCTATGCTTATCTTTGATTTCCTTTATCATCTCTATGATCTGGCTGAAAGCTTAATTTGGCTACAAGTTTAATCAGTCATAATGAGAAATTTCTTACTTTTAGTTACAAAGACTTAGGCAGAATATATAATTGTGTACTTTCTCTTCTTTTATTTTTCCATCCTTATACATATATGCATTTGTTTGGAAGTATTAAAACAGTAGTTATAGGGTTATGACTTCATGAAATATTAATGAGTGAGCCTTAGAAGTCAATCATGTTGAACCTCTCATTTTGTAATAAGGAAACTTGGTCTACAGCGTTGTGACTTGTCCAGGGTCACACATTTGGGCTGAACTACCTGACGAAGTTCAGTGTTACTTCGCACTTACCCACACAGAAATTAGTTAGCCAGAATATATTTCAAAATTACTTTAAATTCCTAATTTTAGAGAAATTAGGGTGTTATCTAACAAGTGCACTGAAGGCCATGTCTGAAGTCAAACCCTGGGGAAAAATTAACCTATGTTTACAGATAGAATTGTTGCTTTCTTAAGGTAGGTATTATGTATCAAATTAATGCCTTATGACTGAATCAGAAGGGATAACATACATATGATAAAATAGAAAACGAAAGTAAAAAGCACTAGAATATATGTTGCAAAATATTAAAAATGAAGGATGTAATGAGGAAGTTAAAGATATGTCAGAGTTGTACTTTTATGGAGGACTCCACATCCCTATAGTTTTGTTTTTACTTTATTTTTATTTCCATACAAACTAATAGTATAGAGGGAAGACACAGCAAAATGCTTTAAGTGGCTCAATTTAATGGAAAGAAAAATTAGGTAGGGCATTAAGTGGCATCCAGGGTTTTCATTCTGTTCCCACCATTAGCTGCTCATGTGGCCTTGGGCAAGTCACATAAGCCTTCCAGGTCATTTCCAACATATATAAAATGAGAAAGTTTGACCATTTTACGGTCTTGGAAGCCATAAAATTCTTTCCACAGATCCATACAAAATTCAGGGTTTCACCTGTGGACTTCTTTCTCCCCTTTCTCAATCCCTTCTCAACCCAATGATTTTAAAATACTAACCTGTGTCAATCCAGGCTGAAAGCAGACAATGTCTTAAAGATGTACCTATAAGACCCAGCAGGTCATGTGGAGAAATGGGAACTTAGAAACAATTACAGTCTCAGTGTCAAACGGCATTCCCCCTTTCGGGAACTTTCGACTGTGTCTAGAAAGCTAAAGATGTGCCTGGTTTACCGCTAGGCTACCCAGGACAAATCCTTGTTTCCACCTGTTGTCCTGACAACTTTTCTAGACATACCCTAGAGAAATTCTTACACATTTAAACGTTCACTGGTTTTAATAGTGAAAAATTGGAAATAATTAAAATATCCATCATTAGGGGAATGGATCAATAAATGAAATACTATTCAGCAGCTAAAATGAATGTCCTGGATCTCCATATTTCAACATAAAAGTTTTTTCAAAAACATTGAGTGAAAATGCAATGTGATCCAAATTATGAAAATATCTAAAACATGTCATAAGCTTGATTTCCTCTGGGAGAGAGAGAAGGAAAAGAAATACAAGTCAAATTGTAATATTTGAGAACTAGTGAAATAAATAAAAATTTAAAGTTTTGTCACTTTATAATAAGCAATGTCCTTCTCAGTTTTAAACTCATGAATTTAGGTGCTACTGTGCCTGATGTGTAATTTTACACTTTTCTAGCTCTTCCTTTGAAAATTTAATTTCCACTTTGCCATATTACTATCTAAAAATGTGTGCTATGAGGATGAAAACCATAACAATACAACTAATTATTTTGGGAACTCATTTGATTTTGTGTTTGTTGGGATTTATATTTCTATGGAAACAAAAGTGGACCCAAAACTGCACAATAGATAGGACTGTTTCAAACAATTTCAAACAATGAACAAAGCTCCATCCCTAAGGGCACTTATAGTCTTAAGCCCCAGTGACAGAGAACAGATAGCTCAGGGCAAGCAACATGGGAAGGAGATCCTGGATTGGGGGGTGGAGCGGGGCACGGTAACAAGATAGATTCTTGGAATCGGTGGATTTTCTGGATAATTTTGAAGGGAGGAATGCAGAGGATCAACTCTTTGATGGAATGCTGTTCTATATGTCAAAGTTTATGAGGAAAAAGTCATAAAGACTAGTGTGGGCAATAAGACAAAAGAAGCAGTGAGGAAGGACATTTTAAAAAGAGTGGACAGAGAAGCCCACAGGGCAGAGCTGGAGGCCTTGGGGCATAGTGGGAGCTTTCACTGAGGCGGAGTGGTGGGCTGTGTGGAGAACATGGTTAAAGCCAGAGGGAAGGTCAATTAAGGTCTATCAGTGGCTGGCAAACTGCGGCTCCAGAGCCACACGCGGCTCTTTGGCCCCTTGAGTGTGGCTCTTCCACAAAATACCGACTTCTGCGCATGGGCCACGAAGTTTCAATCGCACTGTACATGCGCACCCGCACGTGGTATTTTGTGGAAGAGCCACACTCAAGGGGCCAAAGAGCCACATGTGGCTCAAGAGCCGCAGTTTGCCGACCACTGGTCTATGTGGATACTGTAATTTAAATGAAAAGGGTAAATAGATAAAAGCCCTCACTAGAGCAAAAGTATTAATGAAGTCAGAGTTTTGTGATGGCATGTATGTGTTAAGGAGAAGGCTAGAATGGAATTGCCAGTTTTGTGAATGACTATGGCATCACTGCTATGAGAAGGGGAGAGAGGAAATGTGAGGAAGCTGCAGAAGTTATAACACAACACCAAATAGGATGAAAATAAAGAACTTAGTCGCAAGGATTACAAACTCTACGACAAGAACTATTTGTGGCTTTAGCAAAATGCAAAACCTTAAACAGAGAACAGAAATAAAGCTCTAAAGAGAGGACTCCTTCAAAAACTGGGAAATGGACTATAATTAATAAATTAATAAAGCATAGAATTCTAAAAATGACAGAACAATTATCAAGTTGATCTCTTTCTGGTGTGTAAAGAAGGGATACACTAAACTGGGGGTTTTCTTAATCTTCAGCAGAGAAAGAGACCAATGTGTCTAAAATTTAACATCAAAGATGATAGAGTAAATAATTTTTTTTAATCTCCACATCTTTCTTTCTCTTCTAAAGGACCAAGTAATATATCCAGGAGATCAGGCTGAGTCCCTTAGGTTTCAATACTGTTATGTAAATCATAATAAAACAGCAATAAAAATAATTTCAATTTAAAAATCATTGACCTCTTTTGGGTGATTCAGAACTGAAACGTTTTCATGGGGTTCTTACATGACATTTTCTACTAGAGGTGTTAAGAATGTACAATGATTTCCTGAATTTTCTTGGCTCCTGCAAAATCTACTCATAGTGGACACTCATGTCCATAAATTCAACTAAAGTCTCCTCTGCAATAAAAAGGAATAAAGTGCTGATACAAAAAACAACCCAGATGAATTTTTAAATCATTATGCTGGGAATAAGAAGCCTGCTACCAAAAGGGTACACACTGAATGAGTTTATTTATGTAAACTTCTAGAATGTGTACACTAACCTAGAGTGAGAAGTCAATGTCAGTAGTAGCTCATGGATGAGGGAAGAATGTATTGCAAAGATGCATGAGAAAACTTTGGGGGTGCTGGAAATGTTCTATATCCTACTTGTATTGGTGGTTTCCCGGGTGTATACATCTATCAAAACGCATGGCATTGTGCACTTCAAGTAAATGCAGTTTTGTACAGAAATTATACCTAGTTAATTTATTTTTAAAAGTCAACTAGATAATTATTTCAAAATAAAAAGTTTAAAAATTCAACTAACGATGTAATAGAAATAGATTAGATGAGGAATTTTGCCAATGGTCTGATGAAAAGACAAGTTCTGCTTCCTAGAAGTGGCAATTGGAAACATTGGAACTTGGTATATCTTTCTTTGAAGAGCCTGATAAGCCCTTCGGATTCTGGAAGTGTTTGGAAAGAGGCCTCTCCTTCTAAGAAGTAGCTTGTTCACAGAGCTTGCATCTGAACAAACAGGCTGAAATCCCAGGATGCTAAGGAAGAGCAGAGTCATTAGCATGCTTGGTCATATTTTAGTTTCCCCAGAAACGAGCAAACAGTACTACATGGAGTCTGCTGCCAAGAGCCTGTGTTCCTGGTTGGGCAGGAGCTTTTGGTGAGGATGTGTCTGGTGGAATATGAGCCTCCCCAGCCTTCACATCTGGCCAAACAAGGAGCCTGTCCTGCATCTTCTACAGTCAGCCACAGGCAAGTCATTATCACAACCTCAGGGTTCTCTCCTGCACATGCGGGAGCCTTCTGTTTTCCGTTCCCTGGTGAGGACTCCTTAAACTACAGCACAGGAAGGACTAGGCAGTTAGCCAGGCACCCTGCACAGTTCGCTTCCACACAAAAGAGCAGCTCAGAGTAAGCATTCACCCCAAGCTACTATTTCCCCTCTCACAAGATTTTACAGGGTTGAGCATGCAGACTCTGGGGTCTTTGCCCGGCCTTACATTTTCAATGATAAAATGATAATAATAGTTTCTACATCACAAGATTGTTATAAACATTGAATAAGATAAAACATGTAAAGTGCTCAAAACAATGCATAACACAGAGTACTCAAGATATGATAACTATCATTTAGGTAAGAAAAACTCAGGGTTCATGCGGAAAACAGCTGAGTGAAAAATGAAGAGTAATGTTGGGGGGGAAAGAGTGGAGGAAGGGACAAAGGGGAAAAACAATCTCTGAAATGGATCCTCAGGTTTTTTTTTCCAACCTACGCAAAACAGCCGTATGAAATGCTCAGTCCCTGAAGGATATATTTGTCTTGCAACGAACGAAAGAAAATTAATCTTTTTAAGAAAATCAAATTTTTAACACAACAAATCAACCATGTTTTCTCCAGGAGTGTTTTCATTGAGAAATATGGTGAAGAGCGATTTTGTTTTGATTGCTTTGCCTTATGTTCCACCAAGCAGCAAGGAAAGGTTCTTACACACACTGAGCAACCAACAAAGAAGAAAGCATCAACACAGCCAATTAGATCAATAAAGAGGGACTCATTGATCTGATGGGAGAAACTGTTGGCTGACTGCAGGTGATAGGTGATTTTACATTGGGTGACATTGTTACCACCTAAGAAACAAGGAATTGTTGTTGTTTTCATTGGGAGTCTATGAACTCTGAGCATAATATGTCAATAGTTGAGACAAAGTATTTCTGCACATGTGGAAAGGGAAAAGATCAACTGAATACAAATATAGCAGACCATGAGTTGACCTCAAATTGAATATAAGTCAGCAGTGTTCAATGAGCCCAGGATGTATAAACAGGAGCCTGAGGTGTATGATTGGAAACTAATCCTCAAATCCCCAGCATTGGCTAGCAATAAAGTGAGGAATGCAGCTCCAGAGAATGAGCCTGGTACTTCCCAGTGTATCTGGTGTGAACTATCGAAGAAGTAGAGAGAGAGACTTTGGAAAGATTCTTCTTTGCATTTCCAAAGTGGGGTTTTTTTTCTTTCATTTTTTTGATCCAGTATCTGTTCTTACAGAATTTATAATTAGAATATTATTATTAGAATGAGATGTATGTCTATAAAACCAACCCATGAGATACCTACCAGGCGATCCCGAATTTTATCTACAAGGGCTGGATCACTCAACAGGAGAATGGGTTCACTAGATGAATCCCCAGATATCAAACGCAGTTTGGCTTCATTGACTACAGTAGAAAGTCCAATGGTGATAAATAATATTCCTTCAGTTCTGGCTTCGTCAGAAATACTTTGAACATCTGGACTCTTTGGATGGTCAATGCCATCAGTCATCAGCAAAGCTACTTTCACACCACCTTTACGTCCTTCTCTCTTCAGTAGCCTAGTGCCATTGGAGATGGCATAATAAGAGAAAGTACCTTGCCCGATGAAATTCATAGACTTGACCCTCTGCTTAAAAGTCTGTAGATCCTTCCAAGAAGAAAAAGGTGGGTCGATTTGGACAGAGCTGCTAAACTGAAGAGCTGCCAGTTTGATGTCATATTTCAAGGAGCGACCCGGGGTCAATTGGAAAAGCTCGTCACTCAAGCTAGCCACAAAATCTTTCTGTTTGTCAAAGAGAACAATTTTAGAACTTTCAGAGCTGTCCACAATGAAGACAACATCTATGAAGCAAGTGGAGTCTGAAATAGAATAAATAGGTTAGGCAAAATGCTTGTACCTACTCATGAAACGATTTTACATAAGAAAAGCCCTGAGCTGATATGTTGTGTGCTGTTTATTTTTGAGTGGAGAGAGAAGTGTAAAAGAGAGGCACCTTGTAGATAGGGCTTCAGGTGTAAAGAACTACATCTCTTTGCAAGTCTATATATTCCTTTTCTCTTGTAAAATCATGCAAATCAAAAGCAATCATTTTAAAAGTACCATACATTCTGAGCATCTACCCAAAGTGAAACCTGCTTAAAATGGGAGGGGGAAAAGTGCATCATAGTTTACAAATTCAACAAACATTGGGCAAAGTTGTCTATAAGTAAATAATACTCTACCTTTTTCTCGGGTGTGTTTCATATTGATGAGGCCCCTTCTTGTTTTTGAGTTTTGGAGTGTTGTGTGTTTTTTTAACTTTTTGAAATTAAGAGAGAAAGTAACTATACACCTCACACTGTAGCTACAGGAAGGGAGAAAGAAACTTAAAAGCAGGGAATTCAAGACTGAATCTTAGTCGCTCTGACTAGTTAATTTGCCTATGGCCTTGGGTGTGCCACTTGGCCTCTCTGGGCCTCAGTTCTTTATCCATAAGATGAAAGTGGCATTCTCTCTCATGCCTATTTTATAAGATCACTGTGGAGCTTAAACGAGATAATAAATGTACAAGTGCTTTAAAAACTCTGATGTTTATAAGTATGCCCTGTAAGTATGTAAGGTATCTCACTATCATAATATAATCATATCAAAGTAGAAAGTCACACATATGCACATATATATAGTTTGTTATTTGCATCAAATGCTACTGGTGAAAATTCATGTTAGTGTTTGAACAGGCTAAAACTGATCATTAAAAACAAAAATAAAACTTTTTTTTTTACCCTGGAGATCATTTCTCCTTGCAAGTAAATTGGGCTTTGATCCTTTCTTTCTTTGTCCATAGATGGTTTGACTCATAAAAGCTGGCAAAATCAGGAGATAAAAGACAAAATGTCTGTTCCACATTTTGGTAGATGGTGAAAAATCATCTGCTTGTAGCACCTTTAATAGAAAAATCAGTTATAAATACTACAATAAAATATAATGCTTACTATTTTTAATTCCACTCCAGCAGAATTGAAAACTGGCATGTGAATGGAGAAAAGAGTTTTCATTCATATTTATAGAAGGATATGCACATTGAGATTTTAAAAGTTTCTAATCCAAATAAATCATGGCACTATAACCAAACATTTATTAGTGAATATTTCTATCAATCAAAGAGTTACATCTAAATAGTTTGAATTTCCCATTTTATTATGGGAAGCAGGAAGTTGGGAGAGCCATTTAACACATTTCTGTCCCATTCTGGTTTAATCACAGGGTCTGCTTTGACATTTCCACATTCAGACTGTCACATGGTCGTTTCATTCATTTTCATTATAACTAATTCCTGATCAGCCCGATATTTTTCCAGGCTGTAGAGAACCACCACATTTCAGTCTTACTATGTGTACTCACAACTTCAGTGAGTTTAGAGGTCAAGTCAAAAGTTGCCCTTCTGTTTCCTTTTCCTTTTCTACTCTTGTTTTGGAAACTAAATCTCCTCTAGAATTCCAAACTGGACCACAACTGCATATCCAATAAATCAAAAGAATATGAGAGCAAAAATTGATTTATGCAGCTGTTCTTCCAGCTAATGGACCGAAATGGGACTTGAAATCAGGAAGCACCCCTTCTGAACAGCCATGTGAAACTATTTTTCTGGGCAGATTAACAATAAAAATCCAATCCTGTATTAAAATCTTCAGTCATTTCCATCACTCAGTATGCCCAGCTATAGATGAAATAACTTTAAATTCACACACTTGCCTGGTAAGAAAAGATTCACGTGTGGCTAGCTCAGTATACCCAAGAATAGATAAGAAAGCTTATTCTGAACCAAGGTTTCAGAATGTTTGCCTGCTTAAATTATATTGACTTCAGAAGTTCTGGGAAAGGAATCACATTTTTCCTTCTTTGGCACCTTGCCTTGAGGGAATGGGAACTGGGAAATCATGAGCATGATTCTTCCAGGCCCTGAGTAGGGGGTAGAAATAGATGCAAAAGCAGTGAAGAATGAGATGAGTGACTGAAAAATCTTTCATACCTGCCAGATGAAGAAATGCCAAGGGAAGCAAAACTGTTGGGTTGGGAATGAACCAATGAATGGCTCATGCCATAGTCTCTTTCTCAAATAGGATCATCTAGCAGGAAGTTTATTAAGCTGACTTTGTATCAATATGGCCAAACATCCTGCTAGCAAGTACATCAAGTGCAACTGACCGAAGGTCAACTACTCTTTAGACCAGGGATGCTAAGGTGTGAAGACAGGTGGGTGTTAAAGGAAAGAACAAGAATTGTACTAAGGCAGTGGTTCTCAACCTTCCTAATGCCGCGACCCTTTATGGTTGTGGTGACCCCCAACCATAAAATTATTTTCATTGCTACTTCATAATTGTAATTTTGGTACTGTTATGAATCGTAATGTAAATATCTGATATGCAGGATGTATTTTCATTGTTACAAATTGAACATAATTAAAGCATAGTGATTAATCACAAAAACAATATGTAATTATGTATGTGTTTTCCGATGGTCTTAGGCGACCCCTGTGAAAGGGTCGTTCAACCCCCAGAGGGGTCACAACCCACAGGTTGAGAACCACTGTACTAAGGAACTAGAATATACAGAGGACATCCCCTTGCTAACCAATGAGAAGAATACAAAAGGATGTTCAAATTTAATTCTGAAGATTAATGTAAGGATACAGCTATGTAGCAAAACACAGCTGCTATTGCATTTTAGGAGGAAAGGAATAACACCATGTCCCTGGTATTACATATGACTTTTCTTTTTGTTGAGCCTATACCAGAAGGAACTTCTCATAAACTGAGAACTTAATCTCATTGAGAACAAGAGAGAGAGATTTTAAAGCTACATGATCAATGATCAAGATGACTCTTCAAAAACCTAAAGGTTATAACCATGTGGCATCAGGAGAAGAAAACCACTTTTTTTCTCATTTGTAGGCCTCCTTTTGGGCTTTGAAAATGCTGGCTTTAAATTAAGACTTATCTTTCTCCAAAACTAAGCACCTGTTCATAGTTTTCTTGGAATATAATCATGAATTCCTACCTGAACCTCCGACAGACAATGTCCACTAATGTAACTTAATCATTAGTAATAATCACAATGTCTCACGTTTTATTACTATTTGCTCTAACATTTTTTATTTAGCTCCCCCAAACCAAAGTCTGGTGTTCCTTTCTGTTTTCTGATATTGTCCATAGGACACGCTTATATCTCTCCACTTTTCTTTTTTTAGTTTTTTGTTTTCCTGCCTTTCTGAAATCTTTATTAGTTTGGCATCTTAAAAGCCCATTTATTTCTAATATTTACCATGTTTTATTTTGCTTCCATTTTTAATAATTCCCATCTTTCTCTCATTTAAATATCACATACAAGTAAAACAGGTTTCGGGGTGGGGAGGATGCCATTATTAAGTGAAAGAAATATAAACCTCTATGTTTACTATTGGCTAAATTTTATAAATGCAGGAAAAAGATTAAACTTAACCAAATGCCATATTTTTGCCTAAAATTTTGGTAGTAACTATTAGGATCAATAACTCCAAGAGACTTTATATTTTATACTTTTCATAAATGAAATTATCTTTCAGCTGAGTTTAACAATTTTATTCACAGTGCATCTCATTTGTTTTTACCTAAAAATAAAATGATGTATAAATACTTTGTTCAAATTGCCATACTTGCCAAGTTTTAAAGTATTCTGCAGTTAATACTTAATTATAAAAACATGTTCCAAATTAAGAAAAAGATACCCAAAAGATATTAACATTATTATTTTGCTATGCAGTATAATGTACATTAAAAATTAATTTTTAAATAACTTTAAATAACTGTTAAATTTCTACATTTTAAAATTTTATAATTAGTCATATTTTTCTAATAATTGATTTAAAGTAATAGCAGAGGATAAAATTTTTTGATAAGCTTTCTTCACATTGTAAGTATGTAAACAATTTAATCTTCCACAGTTCCACAGTGGTCCTCTCTGATTACAAGTGATTAAAAGAAAGCAGTTATGTCTTACCTTATAAAGTTTGTCAAACAGGAACTAAAGACTGGTTACGGAAAGGCCAAAGCAAGGACCATCGTTGGGGACAGAATTGGCTAGTGAATATATCTCTGTTCTGTGGGATAAAAATGGTCCTTGCTTTGGATCTTTTGCAATCTTTTATTCATGTTTATTAGACTAAGTTAAAGCAAGAGTGGTCAGGCATTTGGCCAGGGTGCAAGATTTGGGTGGGATCAGTAAGTAATTTAAAGGAACAGTGTCTTTCGGAACAAATCTATGTTTTCCAGACTGTTTTAAAAACAGCTTGAGCAAATTTTTTACATTTTAGGCACTTACTGAGTCTGCCTTCGTTTCTATGCTATGTTCTTCACTTTCTATTTTTACATTTCTTTGCCTGGGGTATGTGCTCTGTTAGATAGTAGTTCTAAACAGCTTTGTGAAGGACTATAAATGACTCCAGATTCAGATGCAAAACTGCAGTGTTTTCCAAGAGAGGCAATGGGTTGATAATGATTGAAACTGGATGATGAACATGTACAAGCTCATTATTCCAGTCTTTCTATATTTCTGATTTTTGAAAGTTTTCATAATAAAAGGTTTGCACAATATATAGTGGAAGAGTGATCTAAATTTAGTCCTGGGTTCTCTCTGTAACATTGGGACCTCAGTTTCCCACTTATAAAAGGAGGCAGTGCATTTAATTATTGATCAAAATCCTTTCAAACTGTAAAATAAGAGGTAGGTTTACAAGGGTCAGTATTCTGAGTTTCTATCCAGGAAAGGTGGTCCCTGTAGTGGTTCCATTCTCCCTTTTTCCTATTTTCTACCTTGTGGTTACAGCCCATATTAAGTCGATGTTTATCAACAATGAACATTTAACAATGTTTGTTGTACAAAACATGAGCCAAGAGGCCACTTGACCCCTACACAACTAACAGGGAGGCTTCTCTAGGACAGTCTCAGAGATAGAGATTAGCAAGATGACTAGAGAAAGCAATATAATCGTTCGTGCTATAATTCTTTTAAATCAGCTTTCTTAGGAATACATGTTAGCATGTATGCATCTGCTTATTGTGACCATGGTTTCCATTGCATGAACACTTTGCTAAGCGAGGTACCATGCTAAGTACTTGACACACATTATGGCATCTAGCCCTCCAAAAGCACAACCACCTACCTATAGTAAGTACTCCAAGAATTCACTTTTGCAGATGAGGATGTTGAAGTAGAAAGGAGTTCGGCCACTTGCCCACTGTTATGCTAATACTAGAGAAAGCCAGAATGGGATCTTAACTGGGGACTACCTGACCCCTGAGACTCACTTATAACCACCCTTGCATCATTAAATTAAGTGTCCAGGTGAATGCTTGGGCTTTCACCGTCTCCTCACCACAAAGCAGTTGTTAAGGAAGGGAGGGAGTTTTGTGGGGCTTTGGTAATAGAAAGAAGGAACAGTAGGTGCATTGCAGAAGTAAAATGGGATTTCCCAGGAAGCAAGCATATATATTTATATATTTACACATATAGATTTTATTTTTATATACTTTCATATATATGTGTGTATATATATTATTGATTTCAGAAAGGAAGGGAGAGGGAGAGAGAGATAGACACATCAATAATGAGAGAGAAGCATTGATCAGCTGCCTCCTGCACACCCACTACTGGGGATCGAGCCCGCAACCAGGGCATATGCCCTTGACTTGACCAGAATCAAACCCAAGACCCTTCAGTCCCCAGGCTGACACTCTACCCACTGAACCAAACCAGCTAGGGTCACATATAGATTTTAAATGGCCTGTGGACAATAGCCACATTTTGCACTTTTGTGAGATAAGAATCATGCTATAAAGAAGTGACATTTTTCAGAAGGTAGTTTAACTTTTCATGAGGTAGTTTAACAACGTGAAGAAGAATAGTGCCTCTAAGAAGGAAACAGGTGACTCCTGTGGGGGCGGAATGAAAGAAAGCCCTTCTGCTTTTTATCTGATGGATGGAGGGTTGGAGTCTTGCCTGCTCATCCATCAAATAGGATCACCTAAACCCAAGGTTTTCCACCTCTCGTTGCCAGGTGTAACAATGAGCACTAAATTGATTGGGTAGATGACACAAAAGAAAATCTTGCGTTCTATCGATTTATATCTGGCAATTAGCTTTGCACCTAGAGAAATGGTGCATTATGCTAAAGACTAAAATCTTAATCTTAATGGATGATCTTGAATTAGTGTGCAATTCAGCATGCACAGACCAAATAAGAGAGCATGGGTAGTGTTGATGACTAAAGAAAGGCAACTTGGGTGGAGTCCATGTTCTTTGGACAATTGGTCTGAGGCATGGCTTTACAGAAGGCAGATAGTACACTATTTTTACTGTTACTCCTGGAGATGGATTAGAGTCAGCACCCCATGAATACATGTTGAATGAATGATTATTGGAAGTAATTTTTTAGTGTTCATTGGTCACTTGAGAACCATGATACACCAGATTGCTCTCCTCCAGAGCACTGCTAAACAGCATCCTTTTCAATTAAAAAAAAATGTTAATACTCTACCTAAGTAGAATCTATATTGGCTTTATTTTTTAAGTTGAATTTTGTTTATTTATTTATTTATTTTAATCCTAACCCAAGAATATTATTTCCTTTGAATTTTAGAGAGAGTGGAAGGGAGGAAGGGGGAAGAGAGAGAGAGAGAGAGAGAGAGAGAGAGACATCAAAACATTGATGTGAGAGAGACACATCTTTGATTGCCTCGGGGGATCAAACCTGCAACCAGGTAACCTGCCCTTGACTGGGAATCAAACCTGAGACTCTTCAGTGCAAGGACCAATGTTCTAAATACAGACCAGGGCTGTATTGGCTTCATTTGTTTGGGGACCAGTGCCAAGATCTCCATTTCAGTAGTGATGGTATTTGGGGGTCCTAGGATCATTTAAAAGGAATCAAAGTTTAGGGTGACTTGTATATATCAGAAGGTTTTATCTGCATGATGTTGCAGAAACAAATAAAAGTCTAGTAACATGTCAGTTTCAACTTGTATCACATTGGTCTAGACCAGGGGTGGGCAAACTTTTTGACTCGAGGGCCACAATGGGTTCTTAAACTGGACCGGAGGGCTGGAACAAAAGCATGGATGGAGTGTTTGTGTGAACTAATATAAATTCAAAGTAAACATTATTACATAAAAGGGTACGGTCTTTTTTTTTTTTTTAGTTTTATTCATTTCAAACGGGCCGGATCCAGCCCGCGGGCCGTAGTTTGCCCATGGCTGGTCTAGACCGAGATCAAGGTACAGTGAAATGTTTCACAGTCTTTCTTCCAATTCACCCACTTCCCATACTGCCTTTAGAGAATAGAAAAGAACATTATCAAGAAGTGAGAAGAAAATGGAGCCTCTTACCTAGTTTGGTTTGCTGTCAGAAGTCCTCTTCTGTTTTGTTTTTGTTTTTTTCCAGTATAAAATCTTGGTGTAGTGGAATTTATAACATTTGCCCCAAAGCTCTGAAGTTTCTGGGATTTATTATCCTTCTTGTCTTTAAGAGTATAACTTGGACATTCCCTCATGTCATTCTTAAGGAAATTAAAGAAACACCAAAATGCTATTGGTCTTATTTATGAACTTAGGAAAGGATGAAAAGCATTCAAAGACAATAGGGAAGTGGAACTTGTCATTGGGAATCAAATATAGAAAATGTGGCATTGCTTAAGTCTGGAGCAGCGTGACTCCAGTGCTCCACCCCTCACCAAATTCTGATGGAGTTGGCTCTTCCGCATTCCCTCTACTCAATTAGTTCTGTATTGTTTACTCCCTGATATGTCTTGCTTCATTGTTTGGCACTTGGTCCTGGGCTTGAAAAATTGTGCCACATATGCAACACCCTAAATCACAGTGACAGGGTAATTTCCATTGTACCAATCTTATGACTAGTAAAATCTTTCTCTAAGATTTTCCTTCATAATTGATATTTTATTCTGCGTTATTTATTCTTTACTAAGAGCAAATAATTTCATGCCAAAAAGACAGAGTGCCCTCTGGAAAAAAATTACAGTTTTCCTTTCTAAGAAATATCTGAAAGTAGATAGGTTTTGTTCTGTCATAGGTTTGAATGTTCGATTTTTTAAAAAAAATTATTATTTTCAGTCAGTGGATAGAGCGGTCAGGTTTTTCATGCTGAGTTGTCCAAAAGAGAAAGATTAGATCTATTTAAGCTTGGAACAAATTCTACTTTTATTGAGGAAAGTATTTTCTTTTTTCTTTTAGTTGGCTTTACTTTCAGGTAATAGAAAGTTTTGTGCTCTTAGTGCTTTATTTGATTGCCCACTAGATGGTATTTAACCTTTTCTTGTATTGGGGACAAATGATAGCATTGAATCTCAGAACTGGAGGGAAACTTAGATACCACTTTTGTTTGATTTGTCCATTTCACAGATAGCAAAATAGAGGGCAGATGTTGTGACCCATCCGAAGGTCATACCAGGGGTCAGTGAGGGAATAAAGTTTAGATGTTTGTGAGTCAGTTGGCCATCTTTCATTATTCCTAAATACCCCAGGAAGAAGCTAAGCCTTTGTACCATCCAGGTTTATACCAGAGCAGGAGAACAACAATTGTTGGTCTGTGGCCAACAACTTATGTCTGAAAAATATGGCTTTTATTTCAGCCACACTGGCCAGGCTAAAAATCTTTTAATGACATAAACCCCTACACAAATATAAGGTACTATTAAAATCATGGTTCATTGTTTATATCCAGAACTATAGATTTTGAAATTACACATGTATAATTTTACTTAATATATATAATATTTATTTAAGTATATATTTTCTATTATACTAAGTGATCAAATTCAGAAATGCCAGATATAACAAATCAGTGAGAACTGACATTGGGTAGTCTGGAACTATTGTTTGAAAAAAGATATTTGGGCACCACCTTGTGGGACTTTTTAGAAAGACATGGTGTCTTGTCTATGATCACTGACAGATTAAAATTCCTAATTGCCTCTGAACAGGTAGAGTGTAAGTTGCTTTCTGCAAATTCTCAGGGTAGGAAAATAATGAGATAAATCAAAGGAGTGACAAAACTACTTTTATAAATGAATCAAGAAATGAAGTAACATC